GGTGCAAATGCTTTTACATTTGGTAAACGATACAGAATCCCGATAGTGCAGTTGCAGTCCAGTCTCCAAGCTGAAGCGACTTTGTGATTAAAATTGTATTTGGTACCATTGTTCCTACCGGAGACATTTTGGATTGAACAAAACAAATTAATGAGAGATATGTATTATCGGAGTTCACTTCACCCCCCCCCCCTCTTAGAGCAAAAACATCAATTTAAACATTTCTACAAACATCCTCACATACACGAATTCTTTAAGGTATGCCTGTTTCAACTTTCAACCATAAACAGCCTCAGATAACAGTTGAATACCAATTTGTATTGATCAAATGCAAAAGTTTCAGGTAAAAAAAGAAATAGTAACAAATATGTCTTCCTTTTAAAAAGCAGAACTAAATGCCACATCAGCATAATTATATTGTTTTTTATATGCAGGGTAAATATTTTATACAAATTATATTGACCAGCTTTATCTCAAAGGAAGGTACCGAGAGGAGATACAGACATGGAAGCATAGAAACTAAATATGGAAGAAGTCAGGTTTCTCCAAAAGTCATTTTAAAAGGGTCAAAAATACTTTACAGGGTCCTAATATTATGGCCTTAAAATTGCTAAAACTTACAATTCCTTCAACATACTTTAGGGGCTAAAACTTTCTTATTTTCCTTGAATTTGGTATCGATGAGACTATTACATAAATCTATGTGTTTTGAGAAAGGCATAACCATTGCAAGGAGGGTATCGATCCTAATCATATTTGAATTGTTTTTCTCTTTTATTTTTGATCAATGTTTTAGTTATTTATGTTCGTTTCTATATTCAAAAATGTTTCACCTTTGGATTTGACTCAGTTGAAAAGAAATTAAATAATCAAATAATTGAATCTAAATTGGAGTTTATAAAGGAGATCAGAATGGATTTGAAACTTCACAAATCCTTTATTGAGTGTCCAACCAGAAGAAAATATTTTATTCCAAAAATTTAAGTAGTGTTATAACTTATAAGCCACATATATATATATATTTGAGTTAAAATCAAAAGAGGAGCATGGGTACATTTCTACATGGTTGGAGTCAGTGTTTGAATTCTTAATTGGCTGCAGTCCAGGAGATACTAAGGATTTATTCCCTCCCTGGTTAGTTTTGCTTTCCTCTTCCGGAAAGCCTTTGGAAGGATTAATTTCCAACCAACATATTTACATCCACTGAGCAGCTCTATATCCCCCCTTTTCATTATTCACTCCATTATCTAGAAGTCTAGATCATACCCCTTTCAGACCCAAACTCCCCCTATATGCACAGCACAATTACAAAATTCACTCTGTTCTTTGTAGCTCCACATCTCCTAACCAATGTTCAAAATTTCATCCTGATATGCCAAATAAAGGGCTTTTGGGGGGGTTTACCCTATTTTCAGGGGCTAGGACTGCCTAAGACCGACCCTCCAGACAATTTTTTTCCTTTTTAAAACTAAAAAAAGAAAAAAAAAATATGTGGGTTCAAAACACCCGGTATGCATGTTCATGCGTATCCAGTGTATACATGATACTTTGAACCTTGCTCCTACCATAACCTTCATCTTCCATTGTAAAGGATTTACACTAGTAAAAAACCTAACTATAAATCTGCCTAGGAAGTTAGTCTTTTGATTTCCCACTAGCCCACAAAACTATATCAATCTCAGGCCCTTGAATCCAAACTTCTGTCCTGAAAGAAGCCTCTGTCCAAAGAACAATATATATAAAACTTTAAACTAAAACATACTAGTTAATATTCCCTGATGATATCCTGGACTTTTTGATTTTGCAAGGAGAAAACTTATTACTTTTTAGATAATCCTATCCGTATTCCTCTGATCATGACATCACTGTAAAAGCACATTTCAGTCAAGTTTACATACTAGCAGGTGCAGTCTAGCATTGTAATACTTAATTATGTATACCAATAAATAGAGATGATCTGTCTAGCATTCTCAGCCTAAAGATGTACCAACATGTATAAAAGACACTCCCAATTATGTACACCAATAAAAAGAGATAATCTGTCTAGCATTCTCAGTCTAAAGATGTACCGACATGTATAAAAGACACTCCCTTAGTCAAGTGGTAAGCAAATCAGAATTTACAGAAACCATCTCTTCCCACAGCAAATTTCCTAAATGGGCCATGCAAATGATCTCTTTTGGGAAGGCTATCAAGGGATAAAAGCATATCATATGAAAAATGTAATGTGCTGACGACTTTATTAGACAGTCCAATTGAAATATGCAGACAGCATGGTGTTTAAATAAAATAATTTTTTGGGAGACTCCATTCTTGATGTAAAGACAGAATACTATTCAACTGTAATATGTGAGTATTATGGTGTCTGTCATTTTAGCCAAGTAATATGCCATACGTAGCATCAAAACAAATCAGCTCGAGAACTTTCCAAACTCATCTTACTAATCAGCAAAGAATAAAAGAAACTTCACAAACTCGTTCTCCAGCTTTACCCCACACCTCAGAAAAAATGAAGAAAACAAAGGAACACAATAAAAATAGAAAAAAGCTGCTAATCCAAGGTGATAGACTGTTTACACATGAACAAAGGGAAGAAGTCTAAGAATGATATGCACAAGATAATGGTTTTTTAGGAACTACATGGGCAATGCAACTTTAAATTAGTTAAATGCAATATTTACACAAGGAAGGATCGAATTCAAAGTTCAAACATTTATCATGATGATGAATTCAAATATCACTATTTGTCTACAAGGTTTGTGCAAGCAGCTTCTTTTAGGGGTTGACTGAAGCCAAAATAGTTACATGTTTGGCTTCAAAAGGTGTGATAAAACTAACAACGTCAATGGGAAAACTGACCCTTCAATGAAACCCAATCACAAGAGAAAAGAAGGGAACAGGTGCATGCCTTGACCTAAATCATAGTCATCAAGACCATATGAACAGAAGGTCCATATAGTTCACAATGCAGGCCAATTTTCTCCAAGCTGATAAACACATTTATGCCAATCATCCTGTCCAATCTTTATAACAAACCTGATATGGTACAGTTATATCTAAATAAACATGACATATATGCAAGTATCAAGCAATGGCTGCCAAAAGGAAAACACACATACACACACACACACATATATATATATATATAAACAAATAAAAGTAAAAGGAAAAGAAAAATAATGCTTATGTATAAATGAAGTTTCTAATGTCGGGGTGGCGCTGGCTTGGCACCTGTTAGATCAAAGCATGGTGAAACAAATCTCAGGTTTCATGGCCAAGAAATACACTGACAGTATTGTCCCAACTCATATCAGCAGTAAAATATAAATAAACATGGCATATATGAGGTATTATGCACTGTAGTACATAGTTATATGCTCCATATAGTTCAGATAAGGCTTGGATAATGATGATACCCAAGTCCATATACTTGGGTAATTTACTGAGAAATTACAAATACAACAAAAATTAAACAGAAAACTAGATGTCTGTTTTGAGTGAAAATTCACTTTGGAACAGGGCAAATTCTAAGGCAGGAATCAGGTATTCTAGGTTGAATCTTGGAGATAGTGTTGCCACTAATCCTTGCACAATGTTTGGGAGCCTTCAACCATCTTCAAGATGCACTTCTATTTATCTTCTCAACTGGTTCTATTTAATTTTGAAAAAAAAAATCAAAATTACTGAAATTAGCTTTGGAAATTCACTTTTCCAACAAGTTATAGTGTATTTTGTAGATTTTAATAATTTGGGACCAAGTGTTAAATATAAAGTCTGATACTTCTTTTGGTACTTTTCTTTACACATCCCCTACTAATATGCTGATGGTGTAATAACCAGCCAATTTGGTTATAAAACTCTATGTAACAATATGAAAAGAAAATGCATATGATAATATGCTAACAACCAACTTTCATGTACATTTTCTATTAACATTAAGAGTAAATGTACATGCTAACAATCAATTTTATTATGGATAAATGCTTTGGAACACCAAAACTATGTAAATCATGAAAAGCAAATATACATGTAAATATGAATCTTGCAGGTGCGTACAGTATAAAGATAACTTACCCATAACCTTGAAACTTTTTGCATATAACAAAATGGACTTAAGATGGGTCAAAGTTACATCAATAAAGGATTGGATTTGTACACATGCAATGTAATGCAATTGTGTTCCTAAGTATTTAAAGTATCAGTGCTGCTATGTGATCCTTTGTTCCATAGAAGATTTTACTAAATCTTAACCATATATTATTTTCTATTCCTTTTGTTATCACAGAAGAGAGAAATACATATATGGTAGCCATGGTACATAATATTACTCAAGGCTCCATTTTGGGGAGGTTACTCAATCAAGTTGCCTAACCTCAACCGTTAAGTAAATTTAGAGGATTCCTAGATTGCTTCATGAGACATTTATCTGACAAAGATATTGTTTCTAACCTTTTTCAGCTTTAGTTTGCACCTGTACCTTATAGCAACAGAGATTTTCACCCTTTATATCCATTGTGATGTTATTTTCCTAGGAAGTAGAAATTTGCAGTTTTGATTACACTATTGTGATCAGTTGGCTGTACAAAGATGTGCCTCCTCTTTGGTGTTGCAAACTTCTTCCATGTGAACTATATTCTACTTTCCAGCCTATACATTACCCGTATATAGAATACACATCATAAAAGATTTTTTTTGATAATTACATCACAAAAGAAATTAAAATATAATAATTCTGCAAAACTATGCTTCAAATAAATTTGGAGTAAATTTTAAAAATAAAAGTATGCCACTGCCTCTCTGTATATTAGTTCTTTTCTGATCCACTCTCCTTTTAATATGCTGATGGTGTGCTTAACCAGCCAGTTTTGTTTAAATCTAAATGGAACTACAGAAAGTGAATGCTCAGTTTACAATTAAGTGCCTCAGAACACCAAAATTATGTATATCATGTAAAACAAACGTTTATGGAACTATGAATTTTGCAAATGTGTACACAGAACTTACCAATAACCTGACTTGCTTGTTTATATACAAATTGGCTTGACATACATATAACATAGGTAAGCTCTTTAAAGGAGAACCTGAACGACAGAGTCATCCATAGCAAACCAACCCCTGTGTATACAGCAAACATTTTAATACACTGTTTACATTAACTCAATAATAATTCCAAACTGAGGAGGGGAAATGAAAAAGAGAAAACAGCTTGAAGCCAAAACTCATAACAAAAACTGGCACTTACCCATGTATCAGCAATATACATGGTACCGAATTTTACAGGAAACCTAGATTCTAAAGTCCTAGAAGGCAATAACTAGACACAGATTCATATCAGTTCAACCTTTGCCGTCTAGTTGCAGGGAACATTCCAATATCCCCATCTGATGCCCTTGGAGCATCAGCTTCTCTTCTAGAACCAATAGAATCTGTTTCTGCAGCACCATCTACTGTTTGGCTTCCCAACTGTATAACAGCTCCAATACTGGAATTGGAATCTCTATCATCAACCGGTGGAAGCTGAATATGGTTTCTTCTTGTAGAATGTCCAAGAAAATATGCCTGAACCAATCTCTCAGCTGAATTTATCGCAGAAAGAAAGCGTGCATATGAAACAATTCTTTGTACTTGCAGTCTCATAATCTGCAAAGAAAGAAGACGCTGCCTACTTGCTGCTTCAAAATTGGATGAAATGTCTTGCATTAAATCAACAGTTTCTTGTTCTGGTCCAATCATATTTGCTGTCAACACTGGAGTTTGTGCCAATAATCCCTCTCTATGCATTCCCCTGGGATTAAGAATTCCCCTTGTCAATGAGCTAGGATCATCAGCCAATGTCACATGGGAACCACCAAGGTTTTGTGATGAAGGTGAACCCCCCATCTCATCAATCCTATTGTGAATGTGGCTGATCCATGCATCAATATCAAAAGGATTTGTATTTGTCACCCTATCAATGGTCTGTCTTAGGCTCTCAATACGCTGTCCATGAGGCCTAGGAGGGATCCCCTGTCCAGACTCCCCTTCTTTTACCATTTCATTTGAATTGCTTCCATGACCATAAATTGGGGTAATGCTTGTATCCATCACCTCTCCCTTACATACAGGACATTCTTTTACATCTGAATGAATGTGCAACCACTGGTATAGACATGCCCAACAGTATAGATGACCGCAACGGGTAACAACAGGATCTCTGGCCATGCCTAAGCATATATTGCATTCAAAAACACAAATGCCATTTCCACTCCACTTCTCAACATCCTTCCCATTCTGCATTGGATTGTCCAACAAATCACCAGCACTTCCATTGCAAGATATGCTGTCATCAATGTTCCTTTCTTCTGCAACCATAATGCCATCCCTGGCCTGCAGCGCCTCACTACCACGATCAACAATTGGCTCCGCTCTCACTGTAACATTATTGTTGTTCCTTTGCATTGCCTCAGGTGGGAATTGGAACTGTCTCAAGCTCCAGTGATACCTGGGACTGGGCCTACTCACAGCTGCTTCAGTTTGTTGAAGCTGTTCCTGATGGATGGTTCCAGCTCCATTTGCTAATATTTCTTCTAGTGTCTGTGCTAAATTAGGAGACAGTGGATCAGAAAGTTCAAGATTCAAATCAAGCCCCATAGTGTCACATCTTTGGTCCTCCATTACCTACACAACCATACATGTTACATGTTACATGTTAAGCCTTAAAAACAGTCAAGAGCCCTAAATCAAAACACTCAAGATTAAAGCAATATTCATGCGAACCAAACACCATCTTCTTATACAATTTTGATATTTTTATGCTTCCTTCTGAGTTTAAAATATGAAATCCAAATAATATAATGCTTAAAATAAAAAACAAGAGAAACAACTTAACCTAATAAGTATTTAAAAAAAATAGAAAAGGAAACAAATTGACCAAGAAGTATGAGGTTGAGTCAGGCTATAATTGGCAAGTAGAGGAAACAAAATTCGATGACTAGCTGCTTCTTAAAAGATAAGAGAGAGGAGAAACTCTCTTCAATCAGTATGAAAAAGAACAGGTTGCGAAAGAAGGAAATTTGGGGGAAAAAATAAAACGTCTTACACAGAATCCAAATTAATCCAAGTAACACAGTATGTAGCCCAAACTCAATTCACTCAATATTGAAGCAACGGTTCTACAAACCAGAAAATGATGTGAAATTAATTAAAATTTCTTTCCCTGATTTTCCTTTTTGGTTCACAGTACAGAACCAATTAATATAATGATTACGAATTAAAGACACCTTAACAACTTAATTCAATGCTTACCAAAAACAGACAATAATGAAGTACAACTTGAACTATTTCTTAGAAGGAAAGATCAATCTCAAGGCACATCGTTGAAGTCAGAGAAAAAGTTAAGCACTAATACAACTTAATTTAAATATATAGGGTTGAAGCCATGGCAAAGCTTATTATGAGCAGAATCAACAACAACAACAGGAAACTAACCAAACACGCAGAAATAAATGGCTGAATGCCATTAAAAAAAAAAGACAAAGATAGAGGAGAAATCCCATTCTCAGTCAATGTGACTAGCTTACAAGGAAAGTGTAGACGGAAAATGTCTTAGGTAGGCTTAAAATGAGCAGATGCAGAGGACACCGTTGTTTCCCCTTAAATTTCCCTGGGAGAATCTGGCCATGCTGATGCCGTTATCTTCCGTTTAATTTGCTTCAAATCCAAAATCTTGCATTGTTAGAGTATCCATGAATATTGAAATGCACCAAGTAAAGAGATGAGAATGAGAACATACCAGTACAACCATTTGTAATCGCTGCCGACTGGAGTCTGGAGAAGAAATCGCGACGCTGCTGCCTGCTGTATTTTAGTTCCCTCAACCCTCGGATCACGAACCTAACTCAGTAATATTCCTTCTTCTACACTTGTACAGTTGCTACTTACTAGAACTCTAAAGTCTGAACTCCATGGTGGGAGAGAGATCTGCTGCACTTTTTTTTGGGCTGCTGCGGGCTGCACATGCCGGCAGTAAACCGAAAAATCGAACCGACGAGACCGAACTGAAAATTCTGGCTAATCGAACTTTTATCGGTTAGATTCGGTATTTTTGAAAAGCGGAAGCTACCGGTTCGTTTTTGGTTAATTAGTATAAAAAATCAAAAATTAACTGAACTGGCCATGGCCATGGTTTACGAACCGCCATTGACCCGGAAGATTGGACCATTTGGCCCGAGAACTGTCCAGGCAATTGATTCCGTTTTACCCCAAATCCGGTCCCTAGCCAAAAACCATTGAATCGGTGAACGACCCATTGACCCGGATGGTCAAATTGTTGACCCAAAAACCGATGGCCAGAATGGTTCCATTTTTGGGTCATTTTTTAAAACCATGAAACCGACTAATTTTTATTATATATTTATTGTATAATATATTTTATAAAAACAAAAAAAACCAACAAATCAAACCGATAGTTAGCTAAATCGATCAACTGATTAACTAATCGGCTTCAGTGTTGAGAGTTGGTGATGCACAGCTGATGCCATCACTTGCCCTAGTGGTCGAGGTCGAACGGTGTGTTGAGTTGAGACCTCGGCTTCGGCCGAAGAGATTACTATATAGTTGTGTGGAGGCATCAGCTTCAGCTGCAGAGGACTCTTCTTGGCGATTATGTGGCGACTACTTCCCTGTTCGTTCCCTGCCTCAATGGAGGATCATGATGGACCGAGAACATGTGACTGTGGCCGGCATGGGTGTGAGATGTCCGCATTCGTTGGTCGTGCCCCTATACGAGTGGTGATGTCATCCAATGCAAGCCCGTACATGGGACGAGCTTCGGTGTTGATCGGTCAAGGTTGCGTGCGAAGGGGCATCCGGTTTAGGTCGCTCCTGACTCGGAGTTGATGGGCAAACTGGCTCATTCCTTCGGCATCATTTCATCTTCCTGAGGTCGATGCCACATGTAGCTCGTCGGTTCGGGCTATCAAATCGGCTAGTCTACGATCGTTGGATCAAAAAGATCTGAGCCGTACGCTTTCCTTTAAATAGGGACATTGGTTGAGTGAGTCTTCACCATTTACTCGAACTTTGAGCCTTCACTTGTGATCTCAAAGACCTCGAGCACCAATCAGCCAATTCCCTAAGTCTTCTTTCCTCCAACAATCACTAGGTAAAGGACTCCCATCTTTAACATGCTGGTCCTAGACTTTGGACCTGAGTGCTATGAATTTCGACATTGGAGTGATCCTAGCAGCTCCTCTTCCACCTCGACCAGTAGTGGGAGAGACAACAGTGACTCCAAGAGCTCCCCTTGGGCATCTAGCACTCATGTATTAAGGGAGAGGACTACCCCACGGGGAGCCGAGCATGACCGATGGGGGCATAGATTCTCCTAATGAAAGTATTGGATCTATGAGGACGAGGGCTGACGTCACGGGGAATTCCCTTATGCTTCCCGAAGTGGTGGAGCTGGAGGAACCTGAAGAACCTATACCCAAGGAGTGGGCCAAGGCCAAACGCCGAGGTGTGATGCTGATGTATTATCCCCACTCTGACTTTGATAGTGAGCTCGGTAAAGAGCAAGTGAGGGCTCTGTCCAAGATGTATCATATCCCGATGGACTATAGAGTTAGTCCCTTACGTATGTGATCGGCCATGGCAGCTCGCACAGGGGGATGTGTCTGTGCATGAGAACTACCTCCACTTCGGTCTTTGTTTTCCATTGCGTCCTCTAGTCCCTGAAATCCTCAACTATTACAACATTTCCCTTAGTCAGCTTGCTCCAAACGCCGTTAGGACCATAGTGGCCGTGTTGGTGATGGCTCGCCTCTGAGATGTGTCCGTGACTCTGAAAGTCTTCTAGGATTTGTTTGCATTGAGGAAGCATCCCAACGGGGAAGATCTATGGTACTTCCAAGGCTGACGGGGTAGGGTAGTGAACAACCTGTTTGTTCGTCCACAACTAGAAGAAGTTTTTTCTTTTCGTTTGCTGTCCACAAGGATGGTCCTTTCGGTCTGACTAGGGGACGTTGGACTTGTTGGTTGAGAGGATCAGGCCGTACAACAACGAACGAGGAATTGGATTTGGCTAATTGTGACGATTCACATCGGGCCCTTAGTGACGGAGGAAGTCTTGGTTTGGGATGGCCTCAATCCTGGCCCCCCGGTATGGACACTCTTACTGTTGGCTAGTTGTGTCGTTTGTTTAACTTTCATTGCCTTTCTTCTAACGTTAATTGTCTTTCTTGATCGATGGACAATGGCTTGAAAGAGAAGCTCCTATAGGTGGCAATGGCAAAGTTCAGGAAGGGCCCGGACGAGGGGAAGGAGGTTGAGTAAGAGGGAACCGCCTCGGGAAAAGGGGGTTGCCGAGGCCAAGAAGAGGAAGGCAACCACACCTAAGCGGCCGGCGGATACCCTTCAAGATACGAGGCCGAAGAAAGTGGCAATGAGGGACCACCGGTTGATTTGATTAATCGCCAGTTTTTTATATTGATTTTTTCGATTGGTTCGGTTTTTGGACTTTTTTTGCTCACCCCTATATGTAGCACCCTAATATACAATTTGTATGCTCTCTGATCTCTTTCAAGTTTCTTAATAAATTATTACCTTACACTTTTCAAAAAAAAAAAAAAAAACTCTTTTATCATTTTTATCCTTATCTTATTATTTATGTTTTTTAAGGCTCACGTATTTTCTAAATGAATGTGAGAAAGTCAACTTTTCCGTTGGGCCCCTACCATTACAATTAAGTTAGTTAACTATATGCATTATTCATTTATTCTCATGTGATTGTCATATATGAATTGATACATTTTAAAATCAGACTAGTCCTTTGTTATTTGTTTTTCTTAAACCCAACTCTTACGTGTTTCTCACTTTCTATCAACACCTTGGACAATTGGTTTAACTTCATATTAGGGTCCACCCATAGATAGTAATTAGCTCAGCGTCTTCTTTTGGCGAGGGTTTAATCCAAATCATTTGGGAGGATAATTACCTTTTTCCTAGTGGCTAGTTCATAGAAGACATGCATTGTACTTCATATTTTCAGGATTTTTATCATTAATTCTTGCTATATATAAACTCATGGAATCTTGAATGGGTAATTTGGTAATTTCATTTTTCCATTAATTAGCTAACTCCGTTTAATTGATCATATATAGGCAAGGTGCTGTTCAAGTGAAACCTATATTAGTCATAGAAATATGCTGATTTAAGAAGTTTCAACAATGCTTTAATCTTCATGGTTCTGCATATTTTATCATTTCAATGTTTACTTCAAACTTTGTTGCATTATGTGATGCGGCGATAGTTAAAACTAGATAGATAAAATATGGGCTCATTTGACATGTCTTTTTGGGAAGATCTTTTGGTAGTTTTGATATGTAAAAGATATATTGAGCTTTTGTATGAAGATCTAAGCAGTTCGAAGCATATTTGGTAGATGCACGTTTCTCCGTGTCTTTTCGCATAGGAATAAAACATGAAAGACGTGGAAAGCTTTATTTAAAACTTTCCGAAATCAGCCCAAAATGGGCTTCTCGCATCTTTTTGGCACCCCGTCTTTTGGTGGCTAAATCTTCTGTGAACCAAACGGAAAGACACACAAAAGGGGCCCATGTCTATACTTATACACCACTTTCTAATTCTTTTCCTATTAATAGTAGGATATTTAATTAGTATATGGCCTATATACAAATGAGGGGGAATTTTTGAGAATACATAATATTATTTTATAACCTAAAATTTGATACATCATATACATAGCGATAGTATTATAAAGTTGATTTAATTTTTAAATCACTTATTAAAATTTACGTGTGATAAACAATAATATATACTAGCCCCTTTATAATGAAGCATTAAAAATTAAATTTCATGCTAAACGGTAAATATAAGTAACATTCATTTGGATAATATTGAAAACTTTTTTTGTGCATGTATGTGTATGTCTGATGAATATGAAGATGAAGGAAACAAAATTAAGATAAAAAAAAGGGGAAAACTACTTTGAAATTTGAATAGCTGAAGCTAGAAGAGACTGATATATAAATAAGCCATAACAGAATTGAAGGTGGCACTAATGACATGGGTGTATTAGAAAAATACATGGTAACTAGATGTTGCAGGGAAACTAAAAACCCAGATTCAATCATTCAAATCAACTGAACCTTCTTCTAGTTGCACGGGTCATTCTGCTGTTCATATCTGAAGCCCTTGGGTCAGTAGCTCGTCTTCTGGAGGATGTAGCAGCAGCAATAGGACCCATCGTTTCTCTTCCCATAAAACCATCCACTATCAGCTGGCTTCCTGACTGTATCTCAGCCACTTCAATGCTGGTGAACAAAGAATTTCTGTCGTCATCATCTGGTGAGGGTTGATCAAGGTTTGGTGCATTAAACTGAGCAAAATCAGGAAAACCTGCAGGAGGATGATTGTGGTACTGAAGGGGTTGATGATGATGAATATGGTTTCCTCCCATAGGATGATGACCTTGAAAATATGCCGGCAGCCCTCTTCTCTCATCTGCATGATCAGTTGCAGATGAGATGTATCTAAGTGAAGAAGCACTCGACTGTGCTTGATGTCTCAAAAGCTGCATTTGAATAAGCCGAGCTTCAGAAATGGCGGAATTGTAGCTGGAAGAGGCACCCTGCGTGAAGTCCATCGCTCCCCGTTGTGGTCCAACGGCATTCTGTGCCGGAGCTGCCGGAAATGGAGACCCTCCCGCCAGCTCCTCTCTACGCTGTTCCCGGCCGATCATAATTTGAATGGGCACTGAACCACTCGGGCCGTTCACCCAAAAGCTGCCGGCAAGATTTTGCGTTGGAGGCCACCGGCAGATCATATCAAATCTAACGCCAATTCGACTAAATACCTCCTCAAACCCAAGTGCAGACGTTGCGCTCAGAAGGGTCTCCCTTGCGCTCTCCGTTCGATGTGCACGGGGCCTAGGAGGAATCCTCAGCCCAGACTCTGCTTCCGTCACCTGATCGGTGGAATCGCTCCTACGCCCATAAATGGGTGTGATGTCTGTATCTTCGACCTCTCCCTTGCAGACCGGACACTCCATGGAATCCGAGTGAACGTGCAGCCACTGATAAAGACATGACCAACAGAATAAATGGCCGCAGCAGGTGAGCACTGGATTCCTAGCCATGTCGATGCATATATTGCATTCAAAGAAGGTCTCCTCCTTCTCGCTGCTCTCCCTAACTCGTTGTTCTCTCTCGTCATCCTCCTCCTCCTCATCATCATCGACGACGAAGACGATCTGTTCGACCGGAGTTGCGATTTGGTTGTTCCTTGGCCTTGGATCAGGCCGAGCCCTACTCAACCTCGCCCGATTACGACCAGGCAAGGCAGCTTCTATTTGTTGACGTCGTTCTTCATGCATGCTTCGACGTTCTCTCTCGAACAGTTCTTCTACTTCCTGCTCGAGCTCATCATCAACAGAAGGCTCAGCATTCAAATCGAATCCCCTTATCACATGTCGTAGATCATTCATCGCCTACACAAAGCATCCAAATTGATGAAACCCTAAACACAGTCGAGAACCAATTAAAAGCACTGATCGCAGCGAAGCTCCTACTAAACCCAGCTTGAAATCTAATGCTTAAATAACAAAAAATAATGCCTAAAAACAAAATAAAGTGATTACAACCAAACATTGAAAACAGAAGAAATCATACAACTTAATCCATACTTAACTAATGCTTAAAATGTAGAAATAAAAAGAGAATAAACAAAAATCAGGAAATTAAAATTGCAACCTAATCTGATTTTTGTAAAGAGAAAACTGAAGCAACAAGTAAAAAAAGAAACATATTGTAATGCTTAAAACAACTTAATCTGAAGGAATAGGGTTGAAGTTCATGGCAAGATTTACCGCCGGCAGCACAAAAATCAAAACCTTGCTCTGGAGTAAATGCTAGAATGCTCTCAAAGAAAGAAACATAAAAAGAGACCAGAAGCTCTCTGTTATCAATGAGAGAGAGAGAGAGAGAGAAGCTTAATGGGAGCCTAGCAAAGGTTTGTATGTACAAAAGAGATGTTATAGGGCTCACGCCCTCTCTCTCTCTCTCTCTCTCTCTCTCTTAATTCTGAGCTTACGTCAAACCTTGCATCATTAAGACCCAAGAACTGGCCATGACGAGTCTGTGCGCTGGCCTACTGAAACTTACGAGAGCCCTTGCAGAGGCGAAATTGGTAGTTGCCAGAAGAAAAATTGAAATCCCCATTGATTTCCTGCACTTTGTAACTCACCAAAAATGGTCCAACAAAGTTTACCTGACCCTCTGATTGGAATTCTTCTGAACGTTTAAATCTGGTGATTAAGATTAAATCGACTGGACATTGGTATTGACGGTATGGATGCCACGTGTATCTTTTGGCTGCAGAGCTTGGAGTAACTGAACCAATGGAAAAATAGCCGTTGTTATCTCTATTTGGACAAATATATAGAACAGAGCGAGGCTACAATGAGTATGCCCTCATTGTAACTGCAATACAGCAGATCGGGACCCACCATTAAATAGGTCTTGATCATCAAAAAGAGCAGATGAGTTTAAGCCATCTGATTTTTTATTTTGAATATTATAACTATTATTACATAGAGCCAAACTATTATTTTACTATATATATATATATATATATATATATATATATATATATTATGGGAACACCCTCAATTAATGTAGATGCCTCTTCTCTGGAGGGTTATTCCAGCAATATAGAACCACTCTTGAGTGATGGGAGTATTTGAGAAACATTTGACGCTAGGGTATTGATGCATTTGAAGCTTAAACAAAAACTAAAGGTTGGCAATTAATGTTGTATGGTTTATACACATTGTTACAAAGGATTTGACTCATGCTACATGCTTGTGCATGAACTGAAATCACATTATCAAAGGCTTTAGCTCATGCAACATGATGCCTTAATCTCCTTACAAGTAATTAACAAGGAGCTAATGGTTCTACTAGATGATCTTTTACTTGAAGGTATTAGTGAATTGCATGATAACAAATCTGCTATTATTCCTTTTTACTACAAAAGTGAAAAAGATAGCAGCAGTCCTGTACTGCTACTCAGGGTTCCCCTTAATTATGTGGGTTTAAATTGCGTAATCAATCTTAATTTGAAGGAAATGTAAAGGAATTGGCAACTCTGGTATTAGATTGCTTCAAACTTCTGTCTGATGAAGTTCGATGACACTTTTAAGCTTTTCTCCTCTATTAGCCGGTGGCCTGGTGCCTTCTATAAAAGGGGAAAATATTGGCTTCTACCTGTTAGAAGACATGTGCCCAACTAAATGCATTTTTTATATTTAAATTTTAATTGTTTAAGGGTTTAGAGTTTAGGGTTTATAGAATTGCGCTGAAGTCATACTCTTCTGAACCCATTAGGGGAATTGCCTTCGGGTCCTCTAGTGTTTTGGTGGTGTTAGTTTTCTGCAATGTTCTAGGTGTCATGTAGGTGTTTTATGTGGTCTTCTCAAATCAAGATGTGATTGGATGCTTTCTTTTGAACATGATAGGAGAGCAGAGCAAACTAAAGCCCTCTCAAAGAAGTTTCATCCTTGATTTCTACAGTGATGTACTTACTTTTCTATATAATATATAAGTGATTTGTAGTAATGGTGGCCATGCTATTGTCTAATTGTCATCAGAGATATAGATACATATTCCTCCATTCTACCAACCAAAAAATGTATTTTTCCTGGGATTTGTACAGCCTTTTTTTTTTTTTTGTTGATAACTTCAAAGTTTTATATGAGCAAGTTAAAGGGATAGAAAAAGCATATAAAAATTAATAAGAGAAACAGCAGCCATAAAATGGATAATAGGGGGACAAACCCAACCACCCACTATAATCACTTCAACATGCTACATACATATTTTCTATACATGCAATGGCTGCATAATGATAGTCTTCTTTCAAGCCTATATAGCATCAATATTGACTACTCATCAAAAAGAGCAATTCAAATATAATATAATACTTAAGGTCCTGTTTGGCAATGTTTCCACTTATTCCTGTTTTTTTAGAAATTCTTGTTCCGAAACAAGAATTTTATTTCTTGTTGTTCAGGAATAATAGATACGTTTGGAAAATTATTCTTCGATAACGAATTTTTGTTCTATAGGAATAGAAATAGCGTTTGGGTAGTGAAATTATTTCTTAACATTAGTTTTGCAAATTCACCCACATTAACCTTAAAAATTAACTATAGAAAACATGTGCCATTGTCATAGCAATGTATTTATATTGTCACCACCTAATCCTTGATCACTTGAGGATTAAAACAAAACATATGAGCAATAAAACAAAAGGTGAAGAAACCCCACCCATTCGACATAACATATAACAAATGCAAATAAAATAATATAAGAAAAACGATTTCAAATCGTATCGGTTAGAGATTGTTTAAAACTCATCTTTGTGGTGGGAGCAAAAACAATTTCAGGTGAGTCTGGTCAGAGAGAATGTGAGTTTAAAACATGGTACACGATACAAAATTAGGTATGGTGACGAGACAACATATCTGTTGATGCATTCCTGGCCGGAAAATGTCATTGGTGCTTTCTACTGTTCATTCACCGTCCAGTTGGAGCCAAGAGAGTCCCTCCTTTCTTTGAGATGTGCAGCGGCAAGTTGAAGGAGTTCATTGTCGAATGAAAATGTTTGGTAGGACTTCTTTTTATCATTTAGTGTAGAATACCCAAAATACCCCATTCTCTCACGTGGGAATTGTTAACACGTGTTTGTTAATAGAGGTTAACGTCGTGGGAACCGCGCATTCCTTGGGAATGCGTTCTTTGAGAGCGTCAATTTTTCACTCCCAAAGAACACGTTCTTTAGGTGATGTTCTCACACGAGAACAATTTTTTTTTTTTTGTTTTTCTTGTTCCAAACACGTTTTTGCTTCGTGAGAACACCGGGAATGTGCAAAATGTTCTCACGTAACGTTACCAAACAGCATTTAAGTAAATTTTTGTGGGGTCTATCCTGTATGACTAATTTTTTTTTTTTTTTTTTAATTTGAAGCCTAATACTTCCTTCTGCTATATGTAAGACTTATTTACTTCCCCCAGCCTATTATATTTGTCTTAATTTGATGTAGAGCTATATGAATGTATATATAGAGTGTGGATACAATCTTTCTTTTAATATATATATTTTATTGCAGAAGAAAATTACATGAAGTCACAAGATTACTGTAAGGAAACTATCAGGAAATGTCCTAACAAACAATTAATTAATTAGGGACCGTTTGTTTTGCAGGAACTAGGGTCTGGAAACAGAATCCGAGTGGGCCAACTGTTTAGTTGGGTGGAATCGGATTTTCATTTCCATTTCTGATGGAATGGCATTTCCTCATTTGAGGACTTCCTCCCTTGAGAATGAAATACCATTTTAGCTGATTCTAATTTTCAATCGGATTTCTGTCTGAACCAGATAGACTATGAGAATAAATCATCCCGATTCAGATTCTAATGGATTTTGATTCTAATTCTGATTTCGATTCGGACTGAGAACCAAACTGACCCTTTCCCTCTCACATATGGATAGGTCAGTTCAACCTTCTTCTAGTTACGCGATTCATTCCACGGTCCTCATCTGAAGCCAATGGCCTATCTGCTCCACTAGAGTCAGAAAGTGATCGGATTGAATCTATTATTTCTGTACCAACATTGATTGTCTCGCTTCCCGACTGTGTGTCATCAGCAGCTGATGATGATTGAGTAAAGTATAGGGGAGGCTCATCATGGTCATGAGAAGGCTGAGGCTGTGATCGAGCAAGGTCTGGAGGCTGACTATAGTTTTCTCTCATGGAACGACTAATTAGATATCCCTGAACTATGCTTTCAGCTGATGAATTTATTACAGATGGGAAGTATGTACGTGAAGCTGCTCTTTGTGCCTGAGCTCTCAGAAGCTGCTGTATTTGTAGTAGACGCCGCCTGGTCTCTGCTTCAACTGAAGTAGCAGCAGCAGCAGCACTCTGCTGTAACTCCATGGACACTTGATCGACATAATTCTGTCGTGGGTATTCATATTCTCCTCCCAATAATCCCTCTCTGCGCAGTGCCACAGTGGTGAGAACTCGGAGGGGCGATGAAACAGGTGGAGAAGTAGTAATCGAAATGGAGCCTGCTGCAGAAAAATGATGTTGATGCCACTCCATATGATGAGATCCATGGCCAATTCCTCTGAACACTTGCTGGATCTCAAACGTTGATATCTCCCCATCAGACCTCTGCCTCGCCGATTCGAAACGATGCCCATGGGGCCTAGGAGGGATCCTCACTCCCGATTCCGATGCTTTTCCCGTCGTTTGGTCCTCGCTGCCGGAACTGTTCCCATGTCCATAAACCGGTATAACGTCGGCATCCTGGACCTCTCCTTTGCAGACTGGGCATTCGTTTTCGTTGGAGTAAACGTGCAGCCACAGATAGAGACATGGCCAGCAGAACAAGTGACCACAGCAGGTGACGACTGGGTCCTTCGCCATTTCCATGCATATACTGCATTCGAAAAGGCTGGTGTCGTCACCAGACTCACCACTCCCGTTGCCACCATCGTCGGCGCCATTTGTCACGTTGCATGTTTTGTCGTTGATGATGTTTCCTCCTCCTCCTCCTGCTGCTGCTGCGACCCTCTGGTCACCAGCATCGGCAGTCGGTTCCATCGTCTCCTCGGTGTTGTTGTTCGTCGGCTGCGACCTTGGTTCAGTTTGAATCTGTCTCAACCACCAGCGACGCCTTGGCCTAAACAGAGTAGTTTCAGTTCGTTCACGTTGTCCTTCATGAAGGTTTTCAGGTTCATTCTCCATCAGTTCATCATCGAGCTCATCATCAGAAGCTCCAATACTCAAATGAAGTCCCGTAATCACATCCTCCTGATCCGCCATTACCTACACTGCTACACAAAATATCCGATTCAAGCCCCAAGAACAATCAAGAACCCGAAACCATTCAAATTTGCTGCAATACTCCTACTAACCCAATCTAAAGATGGGATTGAAGTCATTGCAAGCTTTAGCAAAAGAGCAGAAAAACAGCAACATATTACCCAAAATTTGCAGAAATAAAGAAAGACAAGAGACAAGAAAAACTCTCTGAGTCAGAGAGAGAGAGAGAGAGAGCAAAGCTTACATGGAAATCTGCCTCTACCATGTCTACTAGGTTAGGTAAGCTATGTAAGAGTTTAAATAAGCAAAACCACCATCGTTCACCCTGAAAACTTCCTCCGGAGATTCAGCTCAGCGGCTCAGGTCTCTCTCTCTCTCTGAATTTCATGCTAATCTCGCAGCTTGCCTCATTAATACCCCAAAACCAACAATTGGCTTTTGCCAAGTTTATGCGCTGGCAAAGAGCATTCGTGAGCTCTCCAATCTCCATACTCGACAGACGAATTTAGCAAGGCGCGAAACCATAAAGTATTGAAACGATTTCCTGGATTCCTAACTTACCAAACACCAGTCAACGTTATTCCGTCAACCCTCCGATTGTAGCAGATGGTGGGTCCCACTCCTACCGGACCCACTCCTGATTTATGGGATTTTAGGGGCCGTTGGATAAGGTTGAATTGACTGACTTATTGTTTTGTAAATATTTGATTTGTGTGTACAGTCATAACCCATTTCCATCTTCAGACAATCAGGGAGCTCACGGCCTCTCACAATAACTTATTCACTAAATGACAAAGCAATCCGTTCAGCCATTTCAGCTGAATGTTAATGCAACAAACCACGTGATTAGACATTGAAATTAACGAAATTTGCCACGTGTATGTTATTCTCACATCTTTGGAGTAACGTAGTCCACGGGCGTGGGTTTTGGGCACAACTGGCCGTTGGGTTACTACACCTGGAGATACATGGGGGCCCCAGGACTCTTTATAATGGGTCTTGTTAGCCCAAGCCCATTAATGGTTGTTATGTTTTTTTTGGGCCTAAGCAACTCATGGTATAGTTTGTAACTTTAATTTGAAGTGAACAAATAAAAAGTCAGTAGACTTCAAGGTAAAAATACTATCAACATAATTTAATTTAGAAAATCCAAATATTGTTAACTTTAATATTTAATTTAGATTTCAAACCCCTCTTCTCTTTATGTGTGTTGGGTTGGGTGGTCAGGTCTTTGTTGTTCTTAGGGCCTTTATTTTGGTCATTTTTTTTGTGGGCTTTGTTGGTTTCATGGTGTCGAGCCACCTTATGTTTTTTTTGGTTGTCTGGTCCCCATTTTTGTATTCTTTTTTTTTTATAAAAAAGATTATTTATTATTAGACCTGGTAAAAAGTTGACTCAATCCGTGAATCTGACCAAATCCAATCTGAAAAAATAGGGTTAGGGTCTTATATTTAACTACATGAATGGGAGAATGACCCAACCCAATCCAACCCAAAAAACTGGGTTGGGTTGGGTCATGGATCAACCCATTGACCCGATTATCAGGTCTAATTGGGATTATTTATGCATTGTTAGATGTTTCCACTCTTTAATTTTTTTTTATTTAGTTTTTACTCTTTGAATTGTTAAATGTTCAAGTTTTTATTTTATATTTGGAATTTTAAGATTAATTCCTTTAATTTTGGCATTTTCATGTATTTTTTCTTTATATTTTTAAATTTCAGTTATTTTTTTGGGATGACCCAAAATGACCCATGGGTTAACCCTAACCAAAACATTTAAGAGTAGGGTCTAGCATTTGACAACCCAACCCGAAATGTCTTAACCCAACCCGAACCCGACTCACCCAACCCAATTGCCAGGTCTATTTACTATCAAAAGTTATAATAATGTTTAGTATATATGTTATATATGTATGTGTATTTAAACTATTTTCTGAATGTAGTCAATGATGAATATTGAGCCATGTTCAATACAAGAATTCTGATGCTCCTTCTCCAACAATAGCCCACAAAACCAGAAGAAACTCTAGGAACATTAGAAACTTGAAAGTCCTACAAAGCTTCCAAAAACCCATAAACCAAATAGCAGAGAGAAACTCTTTTGTTTGCCTTGACTGAGGCGTCCACATAATAGTTAATCAGCCTCCTCAATTTTTTGTTGTGAGGAAGTCCTCCAAACTTTAAAATCTCATCGGCTTTATCGAAGGAATCGTTAGATCTCAAAAACTCTTACTCATCGCTGTCAACCCTTAATTCCTTCAGCCCGTGTTTTCTTGGTCTCTTCTTTAAACCTTGGAAAAGTTTCTCTTACAAATTTTTTACGTTCGGGTGATCATGGGTCGGCCAGTTCGGGCTTTGCACTTATGATAAGGGCTATAGTTTAGGCTCGGGTTTAGGGTTTCTGATTTCGGGCCAATATCATTCATATATAAAACATTATATATCTATTATATATTAAATGACATAACATGCATATAAACTTATTTTATATATTATATAGTATAAAATATATAATATAATGTAAAATAACATGTATACATATGTATACATTATATACAAAATATACAAGTTTAAATGTATGGGGGCCGAGACGGGCCGGGCTTGAAGTATTAAGCCCAAGCCCAGCCCTTAAAATTTATGGGCCTAATGTGGGCCCAGCCCTAGTTGGGCTGAAATGATGACCCCTAAGTGCAACCCTAGAGATTTTGCCACTTGAACATCAATGAATAAAAATGGGGGCCTAATGTTTGTCTCGAGCTGCTACACTTTTGTTCTTGAATAATTGAAAAGTCCAATTTGATCGTAGACTTAAAAAAAAGCCAATAGTACGTAGATAAATACCCAGTATTAGTGATGTCATTTATAATCCCTTAAATAATGAATAAAATAATAGAAAATATTGATATGATATTATTAAACTCAAAAAATTAAAATATTTGCAAGTAAATTCCATTGAATAAAATAAAAAATCATTTATGTATAATTATAAATGTTGAAAATAATTTATAAATGGGTTCCACTTAATTTTTTTTTTAAGAAAAGAATAATAGGTGGGCTCTACTTATAATTTCTTTTCGGAAAGAAAAATAATAGATGAGCCCCACTTGAAATTATAAGTGGGTCTCTTTCTCTCTTCTTTTTCTTCTTCTTCTTCTTCGCACTTTCCTCTATCTTCGTCCATCGTTGCAACCCAAACCAGTAGTTCAAACCGAGCCTTCTAGGGGCTTATCAAAAAATAAATGTGGGTAATAGGGCCATTATATGTATCAAAGACTTATCTTTTAATTTCAATATACTTTGTGTGTGAGCAAAGACCATTAGACCAATAAAGCTTGAACACCTAAATGTTGGAAGGTTCATCGATGCCCTATAATTAGCGTGACATTTTAGATGTTGATGTTATTTTGGCAGATTAAGGGGGCGCTTGATATCACTTTTTAGACGCCTGGTGTCTGAAAAACTTGCACAGAACCCGATTTTTGACGCGTCTTAAAAATGATCTAAATCTCGTTTTCAGATTTGAAACTTAAAGCGTGTGGTTCGATTCTTAATGTGCTCAGGTGCGTTTTAGAGCTAGTAAAAAGTCGAAACTACTCCTCAACATTTTCAAAATGACGTGCTGATTCCCTTGATTATCCCCAAACCAAAACACCTAGACCATTTTGTTTCAAACATGAAAGAACTCTCCGCTCATGAAGATCGTACAAGGTATGGCCGCAAGACCTTTTCTCTCATGTTTGCTTCTTTGCTTTGTCAAATGTCAGATTTCTCACCATAAAATCTTCATTTTTTCAAGGGTCATAGTTGCACCAGGTGCCTAGCGAAGGTATCTTCTTCCTTCTTCCTCCTCCTCCTTCTTTCCTATTTACAGTTGTTTGATTTGTTTACGTTTATCTATTTAATCTGTTAACTATTTTGTACGATGCTTTRTCTGTTTATTGAATCTGAAAACATCCATGCTTTGTTTATAAAATCTCAACTCCTCTTCTTTTTCCCATGTCCCCATCTAGTAGTGTGGTTATGGACCAACTACATTGCATCATTAAGTCTTCATGGGGTTACACAAGTACCCATAACACCCGCCTCATCCGAGAGATAGATCATACAGTTCTTTTCTTGTTTTTTTTTTTTCTTCCTAATTGGATCTTTATTGTCCTGCTGAAAGCAAAAACGTTGTTACCAGTTGCAGGAACCAGCTTAAGTTAGGTTGAATTTGGACAAGATTCAGGTTTTGTGCTTTTAAAGTCCAAATTTTAGGCTTTGTGTTTTGGGGCTCAAAAATGTTTTGGCTTCAAACTATAATGTTTTAAAAGTAACACCTACCAAACACCCAAAATACTTTGTTTGCTCAATTTTTCTTTCCATAACTCAAAGCTCAAAAGCAACAGCTTCTTTTTAACATTGTGGTGTTTTGACAGTGCTATTATTAGTCATTAGTTATTTTTATTAATTTTAATTGTGTTAATTATTAATTTTTTATAAAATTTTTAAAATTATTTTAATTTTTATGTTTAAATTATTAATATTAATTATTTTTTATTAGTCATTAGTTGTTTTTGTTAATCTTAATCGTGTTATTTATTAATTATTAGTTTTTTAAAATTATTTTAATTTTTATGAGTAAATTATTAATGATTAATTATTTTTATTAGTCATTAGTTATTTTTATTAATTTTAGTTGTGTTATTTTTTAATTATTAATTGTTAATTAGTAATTATTATTTTTTTAAAATTATTTTAATTTTTATGTGTAAATTATTAATTATTAATTATTAATTATTTTAATTTTTATGTGTAAATTATTAATTATTTTAATTTTTATTAAGTATTAATTATGTAAATACTTTTTTAGTCATTAAATATTTTTTTTAATTTTAATTATGTTATTTTTTATTTATTAACTTATTATTTTTTATTCATATTATTTCAATATTATTTTGAATTTTATAAACTATTTGATATGAGATAGTACAAATTGAACTCAAAATTATCAAATAG